CTTGTTATTTTTATTTTATTATTTTTTTTTAAACATATTTAATTCTTTCATTTTATATTTTAAGTTTTTATAAAAAATTAGGTCATTTTTTATTTTGTTTATTTAATATATTTTGTTCCACATGCTTTTTTTTTTGCAATCATTTACAGATTGTTCCAATTGATAAACTGGTGAAAGGCAGGTTCCAAGACAACTTTGAGTTTTTACAATGGTTCAAGAAATTTTTTGATGCAAACTACTCGAGAACAGAACCATACGATGCACTTGCTATGCGAGGAGGAGAGCCCATGGGTTCTGGTGGAAGTAATGCACCACATGGCACTAATACAAAACGCACTACTCCACGTGATGTAAATTCGGCTAAACCGGCTGCTCGTATTGGTACATTATTTCACACAACTTTTTTTTTTTATAAAATTGAAAATTATATTTATAAATTTAAACATAACTTAAATAATTATTTTTAAAAATAATCATGAAATTAACATTGACTTCTTTTTTAATTTGCAATCAACATGGTCTGGTTTTGCTTCAAAATAACAATTATAAATAACAAGTTAAAAATTGCTATATACTATATAGTCAAATATTTACTTATTTTTTTCTATGCAAATTTTTTTTATTTAAACTATATATATAAAAAAACAATAAGCTTGTGAGTCCTAGTAATATATGAAGAAAATTTCGCTTCAGGTAAGACACATACAACGGATCTTCCCGTACCTACATTAAACAACACTCGTAATTATTTTTGTTTTTTTTTATATTTTTATGCTCGTTTTTTTTATTTCTTTAGATTTTTATAATTCAAGGTTTAGAGAAGGGTATCCAATAAATTTGAAAAAAATTTCTTGTAAAATAATAACACAGGAAAGGTAGTTCAAAATTGTAAAAAAAAATTTATAATTTTAATTGTCTATTCTTCATTTAATTGTTTGAAAAATTATGTAGTATTGCTTACTTATTTGCTAATTATAAGTGCTGTACATAATTGTTTTAATGCATGCCTTTTGTCATTTTCTATTGTACAATTGTCTTTATAAATTATTATGGTTTTTATAATTAATATACATAACTACACAATTTGTAAAGATATTTATACAATATAATTTTAATATTAAAATATTTGTTATTAAGAGAATATAATTATTTGTGATTTGTAATATATGTAAATATATTAATTATATTGCATTTGTAGAATTATTAATAAAAAAATAAGATATTTAAAAATAATACATCAAATTTTATATTTAGTTACCAAAGCTCCAGCTCATCGTCCACAAGCGAAAACAGGAGTTGGCAACCGCGGCGAAGCTGGAAAAGTTGAAGAACTCAGTGCACAGGTATACATAGGAAAATCAAATTATTGTTACAAAATAATTTCATATTTTTATTGTATAATTTTTTTACAGGTGATGGAATTAAAAATGTCTTTGGAAGGATTAGAGAAAGAAAGAGATTTCTACTTTGGAAAATTACGTGATATCGAAGTTATGTGCCAAGATTGTGATAACGGAGATCCTCCACCAATAGTCCAAAAAATATTAGAAGTCCTTTATGCGACAGAGGTATGTGAGAGAATTTCGATAAATTTACAATTGAAATTTGTATATTCTCAGAAAATAGATTTCAAAATTTAAAATTTTCTCACTATCTAATAAAACTATTACATTTTAGTTTTTCTTTGATTTGTCAGCATCAATAATATATTACGTTGAAAATATTATAAAATAAAATAAAATAAGATTTCTTTAGTATTAAGAGAATCTGAATAATCGAGATAATTAACTAAAAACTGGAATCACTATAGAAAGTTAATATATTTTTCTAGAATAATGCACATGTCTAACAACAATTCTTATAGGAATTTATATTTAATTTTTTTGGATCGTAAATCTAGAATAAAGGTTCTATTATGTCCATAATATCAAATTTCAAAATTCTATTACATTATGTTTTTGTTATTTTTTTTTTTTTTTTTAATTATTTAGGAAGGATTTGCACCACCAGAAGAATTGGAAGGAGATGGTCTCGCGCCCGATGACGAGGAAGAATATTAACTTTACATTTTGTACAATCATTATAAAAAGTACGACAGCAAATTGTCCAAGTGCGTTTCAGTTTATTATCTATTTGTGAGCCAGTATCAGTACCCTTCGCATAATTGATAAGCTACTTTGTAAAGCTATTTAAGCATTTTCGCCTTCATTTCGTTACAAACGTTCACCGAGAGTTCATTAAAAGATTCGCACGTATAATTAGGATAGAAAGTACGTTAAATAATGCACTTGAATAACTTGTACTCTACGAAAAGTAATTATTAAGAATGAAAACAGAATTAGCAGTTCATATATTGTCATAGTTCTTTATCGTAATTAAAATAACGGTAGAGCTTTGAACATCGACAAATCTCAAAATACGAAGGAAAAAATGAACAAATATTTTTGGATGCAGATTACCTGACAAGTTGTCTGAATCCAGTTTGTTATACAGTAATTTTATGTTAACTATGTTCAATAATGTGTGAGTGTTTTTTTGTTTGTAAATGCACTATTGTTTTTATCGATAAATAGATGAAATCTCGTCGGTTTGTCCTTTCGTACCTTGTAGTTCTCCAAAATTATAGATTGTATGAACGCATAATCTATAGTATAACTGTTTCAAACCTGTTTCCAAGTCATTGTTAACATTTATTTGCATCGATCATAAATGTAAAACGATATATGATGTATGTCGAAAACTGATTCACGAAACGCATTAAATTGAATTTCCTAAGTTTTATACATACCTTCGATTTTTTCTTCTTTTTTAACTTAATGAAACAATACATACATTATGTTTCCATAAAAAAATTGTAAAACTCGTAGAAATGATTGCAATTTAAAATCTAAACGAGCGACACAATATGGAAATATAAATAAAATATAAATAATCATCGAGAAATAATATGATTACGAATAAATGAAACGACGACGATATTCATTTCTGTTTCCACTATATTTTGGAGATGCGAAAGATTGTTCGATTTGGACATTGGATTTTGAATCAATGCGCCTGATTCATTTTTGCAAAGATAGTAATTTATTTCACGCGAGTAGATACGCGAACATCTTCGTATCTCCATGATCCGTCTTTCAGAACGAGAATGGCCTTAAAAAGCAGCGATAAACTTGAGATTACAGACGAAATACTCGAATTATTTAGAGAGCAAATGCAAAGTGTATCTCTCAAAGTAATACGACATAATTGATAAAAAAATTACGTTGCAAGCGCAAAGAAACGCTTAGCTTTTGAACAGACAACAAATGAAACAATTAAAAAAATAAATGAATAAATAAATAGAAATAAAAATGAAGAAAAACTAACGAAGAAAATTTATAAAATTGTATGATCGGAGAATGAGTGAAAGATAACGAGCGAAAGAGATAAAAATCAAGCAAGCAAAAGTAAGCAAAATTATACACATATTATTTGCTAAGTTTGCGATGTAGCTTGGCACGTGTATTTTAAAAAACATAGGATTTAAATTAAACCATACAGAAACAATTTTATGTATTTGATATTTTAAATTTTCTCTTAAAGATTAATCATAGATATTAAAATAATGCGTCGATTATTATTGTTATTATTATTTCCATTGTATGAAATGTAATGCTCGTATTAATTATATGCAACGATTTTGAAAAAAGTACACGACGCATTTTAACTTGCGCTACGTTCATTGCTCTATGTGTGCGTTTACAGCGATTAATCGCGAGAATGTGCTTCAAAAATTTGAAATTTTTAATGATGAGGTAATAAATGTTTAATAGGATTCAATATTGCATGACTTTTTTTTTTTATTTTTTTATTTTTCAATATTGTCTGATTGTATGACTTTATATGTATAACTTTTTATGAAATTTTCAGAGATTATTATTATTAAGAACAAATTAATTTTTAATTATTTAATTTTTCAATTGTTTATTATATAATAAGTGATGTATATTTTTCTAAAAATTTTTGATCATCACATATATTGAAAATACATCTGAGTCAATTTGTGATGTTTCAAATTTTGTATTATTATATTATAATATGTATAGATTTATGTGTTTTCAATTTATTGCAATTAATTGTTCCTTCATATTATATTTCAGTTAAACATTTGCCATTCTTGCTACGATTTTATAAGGCTGATTTTAACGTTTATAATATTAAACTTTAAAAAAATATAAAGAAATGAGAGTATTTTGTAAAGTGAATAAAGAATCCATGTAAAAGAAATACAAATACGATGCAAATCAACAAAAAACACTTTGAGATAATTTTTTATCGTTATCTTTGAATTTTCTTAAAATACTCATCGTGAAAAATGAAAATTCCTATTAATAACAGAATTATAATAAATAAAATAAAAAAGATATTAATTATTCTTTTCTCTCAGGTATCCTTCATTAATGATTACGATTAAGAGTTTTCAGATATCATATTTTAAAATTATATATTTATAAATATATAACTTGACGAAATGAGTTCATTCAAAAAGTTATCAATTCAAGAGATTACTTCTGTATTCCTATCTTTCTTCGATATATATTTTAATATTAATTCGATTAAAAAAATTTTTTGATAAATTGAAAATTTATAATAGAAAAATGTACAAATGAATTAGTGTCATAGAATTTTCATTTATTTCCTTTTCCAAATACTCTTATATTTCCAATTTAAAAAACGAATCATATATCATACTCTTTCTCTTCAAAAAAAATTAAAGGACAATTCCAACTACGCATCCGCAAAATCTTTTTCCAATCATCACGACCAAATCACACACAAACTCATTCAAGAAACTTCATCAAACAATAAGTGATTTTCAAACTCTTCCAACATCTATTCCATCCGTCCCTCAATCTACACATGGATCAACCACCATCATTTCGTGTTCATCCATCCGCGTTGCATCAGAACACCAACATCGGTACCAAAGCAATCGAATTTCGTTCATTTTGTGCAAATCCACGAAAACAGCGGAAACAGGCGAATTCTTTGGTCTGAGCGCGCGTGATCATGAAGAAGATACGACTCGGGCCAAAGGTTCCGGCGGATGACGATCCTCCATCGTGAATAGAGTTCCAGTGGATCGTCGTCCGTGGTGGATCGTGCGTGTCGCGACCATTTCTCCTCGCGTGAAGAAAATATAGGAAGAAAAGTCGGCCATAAGAACAAGGCGACAAGTTACGTAAAAGGGGCGAAGAGCTCCTGGAAGGAACCATCCGGCGTTCGATCGCCGCCATTTTTAAAGCAGGTAAGATTCGCTACAGTATATATGTGTATACATGTATAAGCTTCTGTTGGAAATTCGATAAGTTTTACTCGATTTGTCGTTCTGTTCGATTTTCTCGCGGTTACGGCAGGAAGTGAGAACCTTGAGGTTACATAAGAGCGGCTTTTTATGAAAATGATCTGCGGTCATCTTGTTGGTGATCCAAGTCAATGACGTGCGCCAGTCGCGAGTCGATCGCCTTTCAACCCTCGTTTGCGAGGCTTTCGTGGATGATGGATTGAAGTGACTTGGATCGGATGGGGTATAAAGTTCGATGTTAATGTTGATTAAGCCTAGATATGTTTATCGTTGAGGTAAATTTTATTTTGGGCTTTTGGTTGGAAGAATAATTATTTTTTTTTAATAATGATAATTTAATAATAATTTAATTTAAATTTAAACTTGATTGAGAGTAAGGGATGGTTTTGTCTTATGTTTGAAAATAATCGCAGTAATTTATTTTTTTTCCTTTTTTTTTATTTTTTAATTTTAATAATTGATTAAGAATGATTTCACATTGAATTGTTTAATTCATTTTTTTATTCGATACTGTTTGATCTCTTGTATGTCTTTCGTGGATAAAAATTGCTTTAAGAATTGAGAAATTATTTTGATCGTGTTTTTCTTTCTTTTCTTTTTTTAATTCTTTTTATCGTTTCTTGTTACAAAAACTAATCGTTTTAACAAATTTGATGTCGATTGATTCTAATGACAAAGAGATTTTTAAGTCAATTTTTTTCATCTTTTTAATGCCAATATTTAAAATAATTGAAGATAATATTTTTACAATATCGAATTTTAATAATAATCAATGTAAATGATTTTTATTAAATGATTATTTCAATAAATGATTTATATATTTCATTTTTCGAGTAGAGAGAATTTCGAATTCGTATGATTCGTTTCGATTTGGTAACCGTTTAATGTATTCTGTCCTCGACGACCCAAACAACAGAAAAACGGGATTCTGAGAGGCTTTCTTGTGTAGTCGCTTGGCGAACAGCGTTGATGGAAGTTACTTTGCCTTATAGTTTATCGTTTGGTGAGTTTCGTTACCATTTTTCACGTATATGTTAAATTTAATCGTTAATTATTTATCAATATATAAATTATATTTAGATATAAAGAAAATATGAAAAAATTCGAAGAGATAACGTCGAATTTATTTTTTTGATAATCTATAAAATTATCATTTAAATAAATAAATAAGATAAATATGTTCTTATCAATTTTGGAACGTTATAAATGAAGTAATTTTTAAATAATTATTTTCTCTAATAACTAGAAATAATAAATTAATAAATTTTAAATTACAAGATCGAAAGAATTAAATTTATCTGTGATTGAACTAATGTTTATGTTTATATTTATGTTTATCTGCGTGTAAATTTATATCCCTCTAATTGCTTTAATTATATTATTATTAGTAAATAACTACTTTGTATTTTATCTTTCTATTAAACGTTTCTGGAATTAATAGGAAAAAGTAATTAATCACAAAAACGATAGTTATATATAATGTTAAAATAATAATTTTTATCAATTAGTAATAGAGTTTCACTAACAAATACAAACTATGAAAAATAATAAATATTGTGTTGAATATTGTTATCCTAAAATATAATTAATATGTAACATAATTTACATATTGATTTCTTATAAAACATATGTAAACTTAAAGTTTATCCAAAAAAAAATCATTTTAGAGTAATATAAAAGGTCATACATACATATTTATAATATTTAATATAATATATACATGTATTATAAATATTGAAATTTCCACAAAATTCATTAGATTATAAATTTTTAATTGAAGAAAGAAATAAAGAAATCAATGGATCTCTATGTAGATAGTGATTACCATAATCACTAAAATATTGATAAAAATAATAAAATTATATAACAATATTCAATCACGATATCGTATTTTATATTTTCTCTTTCAAAGTTCATTTTTCTATTCTCTTTTTTCCTCAATAATCCAAAAAAATAATCGTTTGCCTACCCTCGTAACTCTCGTTATTAAATTATTTTTTTCATTTCTGAACATTTTTATTTCACATTTTCGTTATGGGAATTTTGTCGTACAATGGCGGATAACAACAGGTCATGCCTTCTCGATAGCAAAATTATCGTTTCCTTTATTGTTTATTTGCGAGGTTTCGATGAGAAAAATTTCACGCGACCATAATGTGCCATAATGATGTATCAGTATCGAAAAATTTCAACAGAAAACAAATCATCTTGGATCATTAAGACAAAAAAAGATCAAAAGACGAAAAAAAGACATGTGATCTTTATTCCAAGATTATCGCCTTGATTTTAAATATATTTTTGTTAATGTAAATTTTCGATTTACAATTTTATTTTCAATCAATTTCCATGTTAAATCTTAGGTTTAAGTTTAATTATAATTATGAAAAGGAATTTAAAAGATTTATTCAATATCTTTCATTTCTTCATTATTATTTCTTCTATTTAAATTTCATATTATTTATGAAATTTGGAAAAATTATAATATATTAGGATTAAATTATAATTTATTAGGATTAAAAGTTTATTAGTTAATCCTTTATAATATCATCGTGTATATCTAAGTTTTTCAAAGTTTATTTTATCTATTTGTTATTGTACTATTGCTTATTGGTATATTTTAATGCTAATACTAATTTATTTGCAATAATTATTAGATCTTAGTTTTCAAATTAACCTTGAGATTCATTTTCATGATATTATGTTTGTTTTGTAGTAACTTAAAACTCTACTTCGTAATATTAAATATATAAACTAACAATTTAATCATTAATTACCGTAAGCACAAATATAGAAAATAATAATTAACAAATACATTTTTGTTTATGAAATATTTCTCTAAAATTTAATGAATTCTCAAGAAATAAAAATAATAAAATTTCTTTGTTCTGATCAAACAAAATTTAAATTGCAGAAGATCAATGTTTAAATTAAAGAAAGGAAAAATTTATTTAATATTATATTTATATATACATAAATAAGTAAAATTAAAAATTAAATCAGGAAGAAAATAATAATTAAAATAATAAGATAATAATAATAATAAGAAAATAATAAGATGAAAAATGTTCAGTGTTAATCTAAATATTTCTATAATAATAAAATAGTTTATAATTATTTTAAAAAATCATTCATTGAAATTTAATTGAATAAATCATTATTTAAAAAAAAGA